GTGACCCACGTGGCGCAGCAGACCCGCCCGCTGCTCCCCTCAGCAGTGTACCTTATCAGTCGGCCTGTTCTGCTCCCCACTCTGTCTCTGGTGAATCCTCTCACCGCCCCTATACCTCTGGCCTGTACCCTAGCTCTGTATGCAAAAAAAAAATAAATAAATAAATCTTTTTATTATTTTTTTTAAATCATCACATCTCTGCTGTTAAGAGCCAAAAACAATACTTCAGAGAAATGTCTGGGAGTGGATTCTATGACGTGTGGCCCCAACCCCTCCCAGAAATAAAAGCCTTATTCGAGCAGTTATTGAAAGTGACAATGACTAATAGCCCTCAGTTTTTAACTTTCCTTACGAATTAACAAGAGTTGCCTCACCTAAGGTCACATAGTTTCAGATGTGGTGTATGTGTGTAATGGACATTAATGTCCAGTATTCTCACCCAAACTTGGAACAACTTTGAAACCACCCAGATCCTATGCTTCCCATGAGACTGAAGAGGCCTACAGCCCAACATCTCTATTCAGTCCTGCTCTCTTCCCTTCAACAAATAATATTGATAGCATTTCCTAATATGCTTCTTAGAATGATAGTTAAACAACTTTTAAAGTCTTTTTAGTCCTGAGGTCATATGTCTCTATGTTAGCATTTTCCAAAGACTATCAGATGGAGAGAGGGTCTATAGTAAAAGGGTTCTAAATTAAAATAATCCTGGGGTCTACTATTTTATTTGTTTCTGAAAATTTACATTTTTTAAGAGCAAGGCCTTATCAAAACATTAAGTCTTTATTAGATATAAAACTTATTAAATGTCATTAGACAAACATCTCTCATGAACATTTGAAATGTCCTATAGAATGCCCCCACAATCTGTAATTGTCTGTTCTCGCTTGTTCAGATTAAGGTTAAATCCAAAGGCAAGCACAGGTAGCTATCCTCCCAAGACTGCCCATCTATGTCTAAGCAGATGTCTTTCTTTACATTCCCTTTTTCCGAGTAAATGTATCCTTTTAAAAATGTAAAAACAACAAAAACCCAAAATTAATGAAACAAAAAGGTAAGCACATTACAAAGGTGATGTCATTTCTTTTCCATGACATCAGAGACACATAATGTTAATTATCTCATTACAAGTGATGCTAAGTTTGATGATTACAGTGGAATCCACCAGATCTCTCCACTGGAAAGGTATCTTTTGCCCATGTGATTAATACATCAAATGGGCAGAACAGGCAGATTGACTGAGCTACACAGGAGAGGTCTGCTGTGCTATGTGGGTTAGTCCCAGAGGATCGAACTCATGCTGCAGTGGCTGCTGATAGCTTCATAGTGCTAAGACTTAATCCCTTGCACCATCTAGGAAGGCCCACCAACAATCGATTTTCAACACAACATTGTTAAACTACAAATCAGATCATGTTACACTAATCTGCAAAACCCTCCAAATGACTTTCTGTATCACTGTATTTGTTATCCAAGTCCTGTACCTGGCCTGCAGAGCCAGTAAAATCTCGGTTTCTCCTATTGGTTACTTATCCCTTACCACTATCTTGACTTGCTGTGGTACAGTTATATGCCCCCACAAAGATCTGTGGTTCTAGCTTTTAATTAGTCTCCTTGATATTTCTCATACATACAGAAATGCTGCCTTGGGATTTTGTCCTTATCATTTCCTCTGTTTAGAAACCTCAGAAATAATTCTCTGGCTTGTTTATTTTCTTTAGGCCTCTGTTCAAATGTTATCTTTTCCAAGGCACTTTCCCATATCTGTATCTTCCCTACTAGTCGCTCTCTATTTTCCTAACCTTGTTCTCTTTTTTATTGTCATAGCACTGATATATCAGCCATAATTTTTATCTACGGAGTTTACCTCAGTATTCCTAGAATGTAGTACAGTATTTGATAGCCAATAAGAATTCAATATTTATAAACTGAATATTAATGCATATAATTTAAATACTTTATTATATAGCTTTTGATAGTGAATTATCTTTGGGAATCCTGCACTATAATATTCCTCAGTGCAACAATATTATCAATTCACATGCTTACTGATCTGTTATTCAACCCCTTCTTCATTCTGGCCTCTTTGAGTATTCTTCCTCATGAGTTCAGTTAGTAATCAATAGTTAATTACTGGTTCCTGCTTCAGTGCACCTCTAGGACTTTATAGAAATGAACCTGGTTAGTGATATTAGTAATACCAATAATCATTCTAGGTTGGAATTTTTAGTTAATGTAATTTATTAAACTCAAGAATCTGCCACTCCAAATGAAAATGTCATCTGCATTGTGAAAGTATATAAATAAGGAAAAAAATTTTCAGAATGGTTTCTCATCAGTGCAAATGATCTGGATATGAAAAGACCTAGGTAGCAACCTGTCAGGCTGACTTACTTATTTCCCTGGACTCTCTTATGAAAGGAACAGCAGTATACATCCAGTGGAGGAGAAACATACCCTGGATGTAATTCTCCCTTCCCTATGACAGAAGCTTCTATTAGGCCTACTACCTGTGGAGTTAATGAAGCGTCCTTCACTATCATGGTATCCTACAAGGAACTGTCTGTGACAAGTTGAGGGAAGGGCTTATGCCCATGAGATTCACTGAGCAAATTATGTCCTCTATCACCCTGACGTAGTCAGTCTGACAGCCACCAGTCTACTGGTGGCTCATTTATAGCATCAGCTGGGTGAAAATATCTTATGAGGCCAGGTTCTGTTCGACAAGGCCCTATAAGTGCCCTGAAGCAGGAATCAATAATTAAATTCTCCCACAGTCACAAATCTAGGAATCAGAGTTAAATCTCATTAGTACCTCGCATGGCCCACTTGTAAAGGTTTCCCTCTCTATCTCTATGGAATTCTATTAGCTTAAATGTCCTAATACCTACATGGGAGGTAAGGAGAGATAATTGTTTTCCAAGGAATATAACAGTAATTTTGCTGGACTAGAGGCAAAGACTTCTACTTAGCCATTTTGAACTGCTCATACCATAGACTTACCAGATGTAGAAGGAGTTACTGTAAGGATAGCATGGTTTATTATGATTTTTAGGAGAAATAAACTTACTGCTACTATACAATGGAAACAGGGAGAAGACATTCTAGAACTGAAGAGATTTTTCTGGGAATCTCATATTATTTCTAAGTAAAATGAAAAAAGTAAATAGAAAAGTTCTATAAGCTTTTTAGGCAGGAACACAAATGGCCCAGAATTTTTAAACAAAAAAAGTCTGTGTTTTGTGCCAGATAAAGAACCTCAACAAACCAAAGTGCTGATATCAGCTATTTCTATTTTCATGTAATGATTTCTCCTACCGTTCCACATGTTACCTACATTCATCTTGTATGTGTACAACCTGGTACTGAAAAACACTGTCAACAAACCACTACCACAGATGTGTCTACAACTGCCCACTGTACCATTTTAACAGGCTACTGATATCGGTCAGAAAAAAAAGACATACAAAAAGAAAACCTTGACCTCTTGCCTTGAGTCCTATAATAGAAACAGAAATAAGCATAGGTTTTATTCTACCCTCTGATGTTACAGATACCAGAACATACTTATCACTCACAGAGAATAATACGCCCTAAGGAAAGTAGCATAATGCAGAGGAAAAAAATCTCATACTAATATGCAGAATACCTTGAGTTCTGATCCCATTTTTACTATTAGCTAATAATGGAAACTTAAAAATCAGTAACTCCTGCCTCAGTTACCAAATATGTGAAACTGAAAGAGTCAAACCATTTCTAATGTAATTGCTTTAAAAAAAAAAAAGTTGCGCATTACTTCTTTCAACAAAATCTTACAAGAAAGTGCAATATATAAAACTGGTAAAATAATATGGGGTGTACATGTTCACCTCCTCTCTCCCCGTAACACATGGTTTTTAAGGCACAATAGCATGGTACCGACTCAACTCCAGAAAATCAGTAAAATTCCCCCAAATATAAGAATTCCACAAATTTCCTAACCATTGACATTAAAATAAAACAACTAAATTAGGATGGAAAGTAATGTAAACTTTGAAACCATTATGTGAGGATACCAAAATGAAGAATGATGATGCAATGATAAATGAAAACAGAAGATGGCAGACTTCAAAATATCTAGAGAAAAATTGAATGCAAATAACTTGTTTTGCTTTGGGCATAGATTTGCACATCACAAAAAACCTATGGCATACAAAAGATTTTTAATTGGCAGAAAAAATATCCATATGATGCACATAATCATAGCTTCTGATTACCAATTAGAATATCCAGGTGGTTTCAAAGAAAATGTGTAGCTGACACAGTGTTCTGATCTTTGTGGCAAGAATATAAACACAGTTTTACTGGCCTGTTCAACTGACTTATTAAAAAAAAAATCCTATGAGTATAGGTAGCTCAGTACAGGCATAAAGACCTTGGCAATATTTTCCCACCAGTTTATTTGATTCTTAATAATAGTAAACAAATGTTCCATGAAATAATTTAATGTATGGGTATTTAATTTTTTTAATAAAAAATCACTTATGTCAAATTATATAGTGTAGTCTTACTGTCACATATGAGGCTATACAAAAATTCACTTTTAAAAGCTGTCACTGGTTTCCCTACACCTTATACTTTTATTTTAGTTTGAATGCCCCATTAAATAAAGTTAATAATTAGGTACCAGAACAAGAATAAGAACTTATTAAGAAGATAAACTATATTCCAGGAATTATGAGGGGATAATTGCAACTTACCTACCTTAAGTATAGATTTATAGCTTGGAGTACTCTGACTCTTCTAGATTAGGACATATTAAATATTTCAGTTGGGATTTTAAGTGCTCATTAGATTCTTTATTAAAAGCAGAAAGTATTTCTACTGAAAGCAAGCATTTATATGATGCAACACTAATTTGGATGAAAGAACAATGAACAGGAACTGGATATTACTCTTAGCCATTTTTAGGCACTTAGGTTTGTCACATCTTTTCAAAAGTCAGGAAGACTCTGTGATTCCCTGTCTATTGGAAACTATTATGGTTTCTGATTAATTAAAGGGTTACATGAAATTTGTACCATTATAAATATTTAAATACAATCTAGTTTTTTGGTCGTGTTCTGATGGTGAAAAAGCATTTTTCTGATAGTGAAAAAGAATTTTCAATAAGTACTATTAACTCAAGTTCTAAAATATATTAAATTTATGATTCACCTTCCAAGCATGGTAAGTACCAGAGGGATCAGTCTGATATAATCTTGGGATACCATCATCATCAAAACCCACAATTAAGGCAGAAATACCAAAAGGTCTTCGTCCATTGCTCTGAGTATATTTCTGAAAAATAAAATGTTGTCATAACTACTTTCTGTTTGAGGTCATATAAAGGATAATGTTATTTCCTACCAAATAATAAATTCCATTAGTAAATAAAGTGTTCTTGTCATTATAGATTCTTTGTATCTTTTTAATATAGCAGAGAACTGTATATGTCACAACATTTTGCTTCCTAGTAAAGCTGATTTTGTATTTTAAAAAGATATATTTATTTATGCATACAGAATTGGGGTACAGGTCAGAGGTGTGGGGGTGAGAAAATTCACCAGAGACAGATTAGCAGAATAGGCAGATGTACTGAAATGCAATGCTGAGGGGGCAGGGGTGGGTCAGGAGAGGTCTGCCACTCCATGTGGGTCACCTTCCTGGCTAGGGATTGAACTCTTGCTGCTGTGGCTGCAATAACTTCATAGTGCTGTGAAGCAGCTTCCTGCTGCGCCACCAGGGAGGCCCTAAAACTGATTTTAATCAGCTGTACTTTGAAAGCAAGACCTTGGTTTACTTTGAAGACACTAAAATTGTAACTATCATTATCACACATTCGTTCGTGATACTATTATCAAGTATATCCTTTGGACTATATACTAAGTTGTCTCTACATAAAAACCCAACTAAGACATTTCTTTCAGTACCAAAACAAGGCAACCTTTGTTTCTTTTCCAAAAGAAAGAAAGAAAGCAGGCTTTGCTTCTTCCTCTTAGACAATGGGGCACTAGAACCAATTACGCTTCTTTTTACTTTAGTGCCAGGAACTTCTGGATTTGTACTCCAGGGAGTAGAATTCTAAGACAAGTGCCCCTAGAAATTGTGCGAAGAGGCAGACTTGACAGAAAGCTCAGGATTACATGGAAAATGCTGTGACTTGAAATAGCTTAATACTGGTTTCCTTATTGAATTTGTCCACGTGTTATATCTATTTTTTATTCGTAAAACTTATCATATGTATTTTTATACATCACTTCAAATTTTGAATGCAAGTAATTAAGCTGCAAACATAACTTCTAAAGAATAGGGCTATGCCTTAATTCACTCTGTATTTCCTAATGTTGTTCCTACCAAGGTAGGAAGTAGATGCCTTACAAATATGCCTTGGCAGAGAGGTTCTTTTTCTTTATCTACTTGATTTGTCTTTTTTTTTTTTAATGAAAAAGTAATACATGTGCAGAGGTAATGTAACTCAAAAGTACACAAAGTTTACATAAAGTGCACCTTCTGTCCCAGCTCCAGGCTCCTCCTACTAGCAACCCCACTGCTACAGATTTTCAATATATACTACTATAAATGTTCTATACATAGCTTTTATGTTTCTAGAAGGAAATCTAAAATGCACAGTTGGTGGGTACCTTTTTAACTACTGGGGAAATCAAAGCAAATATAAAAGAAAAGTAGAACAATAGAATGTTTTTGTCACTCTTCCAACAAGAATTAAACTTTTAAAAACAAAATAGGGAACATCTTATAAATAAGTACTTAAAACTTTACCATCTAGAATATGAAGTCTAAAAAAAAAAATCTCTACATGGGCAAATGGTAGCATAGTTCATGAAAGATGGTACTGGAACAAAAACAGACACAGATCAGTGGAAGAGCGTAGAAAGCCCAGAAATTAACCCACAGACTTATGAACAACTAATCATTGACACAGGTGCAAAGAATATGCAATCAAATGGTTCAATAAATGGTGCTGGGAAAATCAGACTGCTACATGCAAAAGAATGAAGCTAGACTACTGACTCACATTATGCACAAAACAACTCAAAATGGATTAAAGAATTAGACATAAGACCAGAAACCATAAAACATACAGAAGAAAATACAGGTAAAACACTACATGACATACGTATAAGTAATATCTTTAAAGAAACATCACCTACAGCAAAGAAAATGAAGGGAAAGATAAACATTGAGATTACATCAAATGAAAGAGCTTCTGTACAGCAAAAGAGACATTAGCCAAAACAAAACCCCACTGACTGGGAGAAAAATTTTGCACACAATACTAACCATAAGGGACTGATCACAAACTTCTACAGAGAGCTAATGAAGTTCAACAAACAAGCCAGTCAAAAATGGGCAGAAGACCTAAGAGCTAAAAAGATACTTTTCCAAAGAAGAAATGCAAATGGCTAACAGGCATATGAAAAAAATGTTCAACATCACTTGTAATCAAAGAAATGCAAATAAAAACCACAATGAGATACTATCTTACACCAGTGAGAATGGCACATATTTAAAAAAAACCAGCAACAACAAATATGTGCCATTCTCACTGGTGTAAGATACTATCTCATTTACAATAGGTAAGCTATGGAAACAATCCAGATGCCCCAAAATAGATGACTGGATCAAGAAGAGGTGGTTTACTTATACAGTGGAATATCACTCAGCAACCAAAAAGGATAAACTCCTGCCTTTTGCAGCAACATGAATGGGGCTGGAAGGGATTATGCTCAGTGAAATAAGCCAGAAAGAAAACTACAGAGTGTGGTCTTACTTATAGGAAGAATGTAGAGAAAACAAAGAAGGAATAGGAAAAAAATAATAATTATAATAAAGTAAAAATCAAAATCATCAGGCAACTACAGATCAGAGACATTCTGTAGGGAGAAGGAGGGAAAAGGATGAGGACAAGAGTGGGAAGGGCACAAGATACTATGGTGATAGTGCACAGGTGAATTGGTGGTGGGGATTTCACAGGGAAATCATACATTGTACAAAAATGAAGGATGATGTCATGAATATACTTTAAAATTTTTTTAAATAAATAAATTTATTATAATAGAAAAAATTGTCTATGCAAGAAAATAATTTAAATGTTTTAAATATATGAACTCATTTAATCCTTACGCAACTCAACACTAAGAGGTATTATTTAAATGCCAAGTATAAATAAGAAAATTGAGGCAAAAGTCTCAACAGTTTTCCCAAGGCATTAATGAGGAACCACCAAAGCCAAGATTCAAAACCCCCAATTCTGGTTCTTGTGGACACATTCTTAAGCACTAATGTGCAAAGGAAACATAGTTTACACAAGAAGAGATGAAAACAGCAAACCATGTGGAAATTAATCAACCACACCACTAACTATAAAATATAAATTAAAACAGCTATTGTAGCACTATGTTATACTTATTTGCAAAATAAAAGAAACATGAAAAACCCTATACTGATGATCCTTCAGGGATACAATTATGCATTGCTGGTTGCACAAATCGGTACAATCTTTTTAGAAAGCAATTTAGCTACATATAACAAGAGTCTTAAAACCAATTACAATTTCTATTCTAGTAATCCCATACTGAAAATTAATTTAACAGTATAACTCAAAAAAAAAAAGAAAAGTTGTGACAAAGATAGAGTAATGCTATTAAAATAGCAAATTGACAGAGGTAATGAGAAAATGAAAGAAACTGAAACAACCTAAATATTACTAGATAGCTAGTAGGAACAGCATTATATAATTAGAATAAATGTTAAGACTATGTTGACATAAGGAAAACATAAAATGATAAATGAAAAGAATACCCGAATACATTATAATTAACTTACTGTCAAATTGTCTAGCTACACATGAATTTGTGGTCATATCTAATAAGCACTGTGTTAGATTTGCATGTGGAAGAATTGTGGGTACCTCTTCAGTAAACTTGAATAAATGGTCCCTATTACTACTTCTCCAGGAGTGTAGAGAGCCCCTTAAACGTTCTCTCTGATGGCGCAACATGACCTGCCCGCTGCTCCCCTCAGCAGTGTATTTCAGTACATCTGCCTATTCTGCTCCCCACTCTGTCTCTGGTGAATCCTCTCACCCATCACATCTCTGGCCTGTACCCCAGTTCTGTAAGCATAAATAAATAAATCTTAAAAAAAAGTTCAGATTTACTATTCTTTAAAATGTTAACATAATTTCCACATCTGATATTGATAGCAATTTCTATAATAGTAAACAAGTCAATTATTCCACAAGAGTGTGAGTATGAAATGTGAGCAAATACAAAGAATCTAACAGATTTAGTAGATGAAATGATGGGAGAAATATAGTATTTTCATAATAGGAAAAAGGAGAAAACTTGGATATATCTGTTAGGATTTGAACTTACCTGCTTTAAGGTTGCTATGAAGCGAGTTATATATTCTACAGTGACTGGGTCCTCAACTGTAAGTTTATGACTCTGGCACTCCACACGGGCTCTGTTTATTACTACTCTAGCATCAGCAGTCAGTCCTGAGAAAGAAATTCATACAGAGCAAAAAAGGGTAGCTTTTTCCTTGCTGAAAGGATGTTAACCATCATGAAATCTTTCTTATAACATCCTTTTCCATGATATGTCCACTATAAGGCATATGTGGAATATCAGTTCAACATTCTACTACTCCAAACTTAATTTGATGCATTTTTATTTACTTTTAAAAGAAAATGGCTTTAAGAATAATGGCTATATACCAATGTAAGTAAACTGTTTCCCAAAAAACAAAAAGGTTGAATTCACAGAAGCTGGGCTGATTATTAGGTTTATCAAATATATATTGTAAATCTCTGCAGTATTTTTAAAAAACTCTTGGAGAGAAGATGTCCATGGGCTGACTATTCAATAGTTGATGGATCATCCTGATTTCAAAACCAATATACCTGAGTCATGTAATTAGATTTCTTATGAAAGCAATGAATATTCATTGTCAAACATGTATCCATTGAATTCAAAGTTCATCCACTGTAGTTGTTACATTACTTTTCAGCTTTTGTCTATGATTAAAGATTTGCATATCAAGAATGGAGACAACACTTGGTCTTGCTTTTGCCATATCAAAATATCATGCCATTCATTCTGTGCATTCTCAATACTTTTATAAGGAAATATTACATTTCTAATCAAATATGACAAACTAACCAAAAATTTAAACAGATGCAAAGGTTGCTAACATTGCTACTGAAGATTCCTTTGGCATTTGACCGCTCCATGGTCACTCTATTTCTTTGTCCACTCTCAATACTATACTATCTAAAAAGTTTGTTTACAAAACCTTTGAAATACCTGTTTTTCATATAACCATCAACCCATTACAGTCACAAACTCTTGTTCTCCTCCAACACTGTTTCAAATTATGTTTCTACAAATCTGAAAGAAATGTTAGTCTCTCAAAAATAGTCCATAATAGTCAACAATGAATAAACTGTCAGATTTTGCCACTGTTAGGGATGGGTAAGGTATCTCTAAGATACTCAGTTACAGAAAGAGAAATTGATCTCTGGGAATGTTTTTTGAGAGGAAGAAATGGAAAAAGATTGATTTAGCCTATCCTATTGATTAAAGGCTTCATTCAATTAGAAAAGTTGATTAGAAAGGAGATTTCCAGTGTTCCTGCATTACTAAATAAATGATCTTGATCTACAGAAACAGAAATATACCATACTTACAATGCAATAATATAAATTATTTTAGGGGAAAAAGTGTAAGTTTATCTAACCACATCGTGTATATATGCTTATTTTTAAAGATAAGAAGTAGCAATTATACTAATCAACACTAAATAGGAAAAAGAACAATTTATCTTTAAAGATAATAGTGAGGACCCTCCCTGGTGGTGCAGCGGGTTAAAGCACAGCACTAAGAAGCTAAAGCCACTTCCACATGAGTTCAATTCCCGCCTGCCCTGGAGGGGACCACATGGTGTGGCAGACCTCTCCTGACCTGCCCGTGCTCCCCTCATCTGCGTGTTCTGCTCCCAACTCTGGACTCTGATGAAGCCTCTTGCCGCCCCTGAGCCTCTGGCCTGTACCCCAGTTCTGTATGCGCAAATAAATAAATCTTTTTTTTTAAAAAAGATAATAGTGAAAACTGCAATTTCATTATATTTATAAATAAATAATCTAGAGAAGAAAACAGAGATTTTATAATTATACCACAACTTTACCTTGAAGATACTATCACAATGTCAAATTTTTATTAAGTGGAATGACTCATGCTACATGAAATAATTTTTTCAGTTTTTAAAATTTTCCCCAAGGATTGTTTTCCATATTAAAAGCATAATGTAAGCATAGTAACAACAAAATATAACATTTTACAAATGGTACTGTAATATTTCTGGTATGTGCTAAGTGTAAAATATTTCAAAAGAGGGAATAAACTATCATACAATTCACAATTTATAAATAGGACTGTATTATATATATTCTTCTTAACATATTATCCTAAATATATGTTGCAAATCCTCTCCAATGTCAACATACAGATTCCATGACCTCCTTTTTAAACTGCTACTAGGAAATAGTTATGACAATAATATGGTGGCAGCACTAACAGTACTGGCAATACTAATAGTAACATTTGTTAAACACACATATGCCAAACATTAGTTCCAAATCTTTTATGTAGTAACTCACTTAATTATTGTAAACAAATCAATTTATGTTAGATAATATCATTAACCCCATGTCACAGATGACTAAAGTGAGGCAAAGAGCCACAAAGTTCCTTGCCCACAATATAGGCATAGTGGACAATGCAGTATGGCTTACAGCCCCATTGTGATGGTTCCAGAATCTGTACTTTCAAGCAACTGCATAGATAGAACATGACTTATTTTACCAGCTCCCCCAGACATTTTAGGTATGTTCCAATTATAAAATAAATTAATAATGGAGGAGAATATTAGTAAATGCTTATTTTACTGTTACAAAGTTATAAACATATTATTTTTATGTTGAAGTCAGAAGGGTATGTGTGTCAGAAGCTAAAGCATTCCCTATCATATTAAGATGATTCCTTTACAAATTTATTTTATTGTAGCAAAATATACATAACATAATGCTTGGAGGGTTTAAATATATAGTTCAATGTAAGGAAGTACATATACATTATGTCCTATACACAATTTCTAGGACCTTTTATCTTCCCCAATTGAAAGTGAACTTATTAAACAATAACTTTCTGTCTCCCCTTCCACAACTACCATTCTACTTTCTGTCTCTATAAACTGGATTACTATGAAAACTCTGGGTATTTCATGTGGAATCATACAGTAGTTGAACTACTTAATTCACTTGCCTATTGTCTTCAAAGTTCATTCATGTGGTAATATGTGTCAGAATTTCCTCCTTTTTTAACATACAATATTCCGCTGTGTATATACACAAGTTGTGTTGTGCCATTCCTCTATTAGCTTGCTTTTTGACCATTGTGAATAATGCATAAACATGGGGCACAAATATCTGAGTTCTTCCAATTCTTTTGGAGTATATATACAGAAGTAAAATTGCTGAATCATATGGTATTTCTCTGTTTAATCTTTCAAGAAATTTCCCTATTGCTTTCAATAGTGAATTTATATCTAGAGGACCTAAGCCTTCACATTTCTTCACATTCTTAGATATTTCCTGTTTGTTTAGTTAACTGCCATCCTAAGAGGTGTAAAAAGGTATTTCATTAGGGTTTTGATTTTCATTTCCCTAATGATTAGTGAGTGAGTAGAACATATATAGGTTTTTTTAAAGATTTTATTAATTTATGCATACAGAACTGGGGTACAGGCCAGAGGTGCAGGGGCAGTGAGAGGATTCACCAGAGACAGAGTGGGAAGCAGAACAGGCAGATTGACAAAGTACACTGCCGAGGGGAGCATTGGGATAATATTTAAAATACTACAGTCACTCTGGAAAACAATTTGGCCATTTTTAAAAATAAAACTTAAGTTTCCATTACCATACAACCTAATACACTTGAACATTTACCCTTGAAAAATGAAAATTATGTTCACATAAAAGCCTGTACATCAATGTTCATCACAGCTTTTATAATATGGAAAACTTGGAAATAATTCAAATGACCATTAGTGGGTGTATTGTTGACGAAGTATGTTAAAACTATATTAGAATACTACTCAGCAATAAAAAGCAACAGACTATTATTATATGCAGTAACTTGGATAACTGCAAAAGGAATTGTACTGATGAGAAAAACCAAAATGTAACATTTAATTATCATAAATTCTATCCATAGAAAATACTCAAATGACAAAATTATGGAGAGGGAGAGGACATTATGGTTACTAGAAGTTAGAGACAGAAGGAGGGCTATCATGAAGATACTTCATGGCAATGGAAGAATTGTGAATCCTAACTGTGGTAATAATGGCTACATGACTCGCAAGTGATAACTCCAATACTACACCCATAGACACAAGCAGGTACACACATACAGCTAAGTGCCTGTAAAACTGGTGAACACTCTGTGAGCATGTAACACTTTCAATTTATTGGTTTTTGAAGATGTTACCACTAGGGGAAACCTGGGTAAAAGATAAAGAGGACTTTCCTGTGTTTTTCCACCACTTGAGTAACTACAATTATTTAAAAATAAAAAGTTGCCTGACGTTATCATTGAGATACTATTATATATATCTTTTAACATTTATGTCTTATCAAAGCTCATTATCAGAAATTCTAGTAGCTGTGGTTTTCCAGAAAAGATAGGGCATGATTTTTTGTGCTTAATAAAAAATAGAGTATAATTCTATGTTGTATAGGATGTAGCACAACAGCTATAGGGGGGCCCATGTATTATCACCCTATTACACTAAGATAATCTGTAGTTCCAAAAGTACCTGCAAAAGCCATGCAGACATGGTCGTCAAGGGCACAAATTTTCCTCACAGTTCTTTCATCTTGAAGCTTGGCAACAGATTTTTTTTCTACACCAAGCACTACAATATCAGTACCTCGAATTCCAACCTGGCAATTCATTAAAAAAAATCATATGTCAGTTTCAATGTTAAAAATCAAGTTATTGTAATGCATGATTTAAAAGATATTGATCTTTAAACATCCAATAACTGAGCAAAGCTAGTTTATATACAAGTATTTACATAACGAGTTTCATAACAAAATGCAAAAAGCTGAGTCTTTGGAACCAGAAAAGTTTAAGTGTCACCATAAGCTCCATCACTGTCTGATTGGGCACTTTCAGCAAGCTATGAAAGTTTTTGAATCATAGTTTCCACATATAAAAAAAGGGATTAAATATTGTATTTAACATCAGATAATGTACATAAAATATCTGGTACAAAGTAAGTATCACCCACATGTTATTTTACTTCCTTCCTAGTCCCTCCACTGTACATCATGTAGTAGAAACACAAAAGGAATTACATAATGTAGATTTTTTTTTAAAGATTTATTTATTTATGTATACAGAGCTGGGGTACAGGCCAGAGGTGCAGGGGCAGTGAGAGGCTTCACCAGAGACAGAGTGGGAAGCAGAACAGGCAGACTAACAAAGTACACTGCTGAGGGGTGCAGCCGGCGGGTCAGGAGAGGTCTGCCACACACCATGTGGGTCAGCTCTCTGGCTGGGATGGAACTCGTGCTGCAGTGGCTTTGGAGAGCTCATAACGTGGTGCACCTCTAGGGAGAGCCCCCCATCATGTAGATTCCTAAAGATCTTACTAGCTAGTTGGTATGAGAAGATTATAAAATGTACCTAAAATTCAAAAGAATATGAGACCAAATAGTAAATATTGTACAATGTTCTATGGTACAGCTTAGACACTCAGAAGGATAAGATTCTTAATGACTAGAGGGGATCAGAGAAGACTTTAGGAAGGAGGAGAAATGTATGGAGATTCTTATGATGATAAGTGAAATGGAGAGTGGCAGAAGAATGTTTTCTCCTTTCTTTCTTGGCAACAGGGAAGAGAGTTTATGTGAGAGAAACCATGAAGCTGATTCCTTAATTAAAGAGAATGGATAGGATTATGGAAGACTGATGGCTAGAACATAGAGGTGAGATTTGATAAGGTAATAAATACAGGGCTAATAATAATAGTTTGTGGTCAGGGAAGGAAGAGAACAAAGACTAATAATCAATCTTATCTTTTTCATGGGAATACTGTAAAGTATTAATTATTTTTTCCTAAGAAGAGAGGTAGTTACTTCCCCAAAATATTACTCAAAATATTTTTCATTTACAGGAAAAGGAACTAAATTAAAAAGAAAACAGGTCTCGTCCTCATTTCATTCTGCAAGATAATCACCAACAAGGAAGTAGAATACAAAGCTTCCATGAGCCATATGATTTTTTTGTATTACTATATATCATATACTGATCAGAAATGACCAACCTTGGTTTATTTATAAGTAATTATATCAACTCTCATCTACAGACAGTATTTGTAAAATTTTAATAAACAAATGACTATAAACACTCAGGTCAGAGCATCATAGCACCCACAAGGAAACACAACCAATAACTCCATACAAAGATGCAAATTATAATTTCAGAATCCTGAGACAAAATTGTCTCATCCTTCCAATGTATCTTTAAAAATGCCCACCATAGGTATTTTTATATCCTTACCCTTTTACAGCTCATTACAAAGGAACTATCAATCAGTTCTATAGCATCCTTAAAACATTTAAAATGAGCCAATGTGGTTTCTTATTACACCCCAGTCTTCTGCCATTACTCCCTTTATTTTAGGCTCTAAAATGTGGGCATTATTTTCTAACCATATGCTTCATGCTATGCTGGGGATTATATAACTTTTGTTTTTATCAAAATGATACCCTTTTGGTTTAAGTTACATCAGGCTTTTCTTAAATTTACAATTCTAAAAAAATTACTTACAAAACAGAATCAAAACTAGTGGGCCCAATTAAATAGAAAAATAGTTTTAAATGATAAGATTCCTTCTAGTGTTTTTTTTTAACACTTTATTTACATTTGCTAGATTTATAATAAAAGTGAATGATTTCCTTCCATAACGAAGTTGGTATGGAAAGTGAGAAAAACAGACTCTGCTAGTCTTACAAATGCCTGGTGTAGTCTCATAGTTAAAGGCTCAATTTCCAGAATACACAAGAAACATGCTCATTGGAACTTCTTGTATTCAAAGGCTAGGACTTGGAAGAGTTAGGGTAACAGATCATTGGTTACCAGGGTCCATTTGTTCTTTTAAATTTTTATAAATCACTGAGATTATTAAATATAATTAGAACTTGGCAGGAGTCTGTTACCCTTAATATTTAAAAATTTTGCAGAAATGTGGCTATGTAAACTTAAAGCAAGGTTTAACATCTAAAAGAATTCCAGTATCATTTTTTTTTAAGATTTATTTACTTGTGCATACAGAACTGGGGTACAGGCCAGAGGCTCAGGGGCAGCGAGAGGCTTCACCAGAGACAGAGTGGGGAACAGAACAGGCTGACTGACGAAGTACACTGCTGAAGGGTGCAGCGGGCGGGTCAGGAGAGGTCTGCCACACCATGTGGTCACCTCCGGGGCAGGCGGGAATCCAACTCATGCGGAAGCGGCTTTAGATTCTCAGTGCAATGCTTTAACCCGCTGCGCCACCAGGGAGGGCCCCAGTATCATTTTTAAAGACAAATTTAAAAAGTGGTGATTTTTGGAACTAAGAGCCTTTAAAAGGCTGCCAAGAAGGCAGGTGCAAATTTTAGGACTCTTCGCACAGTCCTAAGTGATTCAGGGTTTTTAACTTGTTTCCTGACCAACAAGGATTTAATTTCTCGTTGATTTAGCCCCTATTTCTGGGGCAGGCATTAACAATTTTTACTGTGTTTCATTAAACCACTCCTTACATGAAGGAATTACTACTTTTTCAACTAGACAGACGTTCCAGAGGAAATGGGTCGTGAGCCTTTCGGTAGGCTGTTAAAGGCTCGGAGACGTTTCTTCCCTTTTTTCCCTGCACAAAATTAATATTACACCCACCTCCACACACATTTTGTTTGTGTATGTATCATTCGACATCCGTAATTATACAAGAAAAGCTATGACATCTACCCATTTTCACCGTCAGTTTCAGCCCAAATCTCAGAAACTGCAACTTCCTCAGCAAAAGGGATGTCACATTTTTCACAAGTGGGAGAACGTCCTGACATCCTACAACTTGATGTTGGCCTGGTAAGTAACTAAGGCTCGACACTGTACATAAGGTAGGGCAGTGATTAAAAAAAAAAAAAAAAAGTTGCCTGCTTACAGCTGTTGAGCCTTTCTTCACTGCTTCCTGGGCATATTCCACTTGGAAAAGGTGTCCATCTGGGGAGAAGACAGTGATCGCCCGGTCATACCTAGAAGCCATCGCACAGGGCTTACAACGACACACGCTAGGTTTCTGAGGCAATCGCAGCCGAGGGGCGTCTATGGTCAGTGCGTGCTACCCGGAAATGCGTGCGCAAGCGCCTGAGTTTGCTGCCTAAACGTGCTGGCCCACGTGACTTACCAGCGGCCCGGAAGTTCCAAGTCACGCTCCAGCTCAGCACCTCGAGGACCGTGGGTTAGTATCTGGTCACTCCAGTTATAAAAAAAGCCATAAAAATTAGCACTCGCTGGTGATAATTTTAAAGTTCTGACTTAAAAGTTTGTTTTTGTAGACTTGTTCAAGAATCAGTAGTAAGTTTCAATTTTCTTTTTGGCTTTAAAACCTGAATCTCTCTGTCTCTTTTATGTAATTTTAACTATGAAAACAATTGTATTTTTTCAAATAGTGATACTTCCATTTTCTGCCTTGTGGTATGGATGAGCAAATAGACTCTATGGTAATGCTTATTACAGAAATTAAGATAATACTATTTTTGTCAAAGAATTTTTTAAAATGCCAAAATATACTACTTAAGAGATGACTTAAAATTTAGCTGAAGGAAATTATATAACCTGCTACACTGCTATTTCTAAAGCAACTAGTGTCTCTTTGCTCTGATCAATGAAATAGAACTATTTAAAAATTTGCAACGAAGTGTTGAGATTAAAATGTATTTATATGTATAAATAACTTCAAATGGTGTCTAGAGCTGAGGCAAGTTTGAGTATTATTATTACTTTCCATATATTGTTTAGTGTATGTTCTTTTTCCATTAGGGAGGATATTAGGTTTACTGAAACCAAGTTTAATTTAACTTAAAGGGAAAAAAGAATATCCACAAAAAAGGAAAACTAGAACTTGATTTCCTCAAAACAATATTAGAAATGAAAAGAGGACCTTATTACTCATCTTAATGATACTAAAAGCTACACGTAATTTCATGAATAATTGGAATATTTTGGCTGTATAGACAAATTGTTAGAAAAACAAAACTGGCATAAGAACAAGAAATGTCTCAGCAGTTCTAATCTGCTTAATTTTAAATCCATGAATAAATATTGCCGTCAAGAGAACACTTGACCCATGGAGTATCATCACTTAAGTATTCTACATAGAAATAACATCAATCTTATATAACTCATTGCAACAATAGAAAGAGACTCTTCTATACTTGTCTTATGAAACAACATAGACTTCATAAAGCTTGAAGATTCTTAAAAAGGAAAATTATAGACTGATTTCACTCATGAACGTGTATGCAAAAATCATAAGCAAATGTTAATAGGTAAACAATACACGAAAAGATGTACATCACAAACAGTTAGAGTTGACTCTAGAAAGTAACCAATGTAATTCACTTCACTGACAGAAGGAAACAGGATTTACCAAACAACTGCAAAGGACCATGTATCTGGCTCACTGTGGTGAGGGATTTTGTAATAGCATTTTACCAGTTCACAGCTATGCCCATTTTTTTCTGTATTTCTATTATTGCTTTCTTGCCAAAATGGCAGTTTCATAGCTGCAACAGACCCCATTGCAAAACTTAAAATATGATCTGATTCTTTATGGAAGAAGTTTGCTGAATCTTGAAATAAAGAGAAAGTTATTTTCCTCAATAAATGCAGAAAAAATTTCAAAATATTGATGATTTCACGATTTTATAGACTCATAATATACTAATAGAGGCAGTTTTTCTGAACTTGCTAAAAGACTAAGAATCCTTGAGAAAACGTCATATTTGACAGTTAAGTGTTTGAACGTTCTTCATTTGAGGTAAGCATGAGAGGTGAGAATGCCTGCCATCATTGATTCTTTTCAGCTTAGTATGGGTTACATTTAAGTATTATAAGAAAAAAAGAAAAATCAATAAGTATTGGAAGGAAATGAAAACATTTTTAGATGATTTGTGTGTATCATAAAGAATAAATAAACTATAGATAAATCACTGGCATTAGTAATTGAATTTATAAATTTACTTTTGGACAAAGATTGATATAAAACAAATTGATTTCTACAGCTCAGAAACAAGTAATTAGAAAATGAAAATTTTAAATTGTGTTTGCTAGTTTATTTCCAGGAAATACATATAGACTTCTCATAAAATATTATTGGAAAAATCTAAAGATCTAAGGTAGAAAAGGTGTATATCTTATTCATAAATTGGACAACTCAATCTGCATATTCAAATGCCACAGTTACCAGAGTTTCATTATTTTTTTCCTTAGGGTATACTTTGATAAATTTATAAATTTTGTGTACTATGATGAGTTTCTACAAATGTCTATGCCCATATAACTATGATCATATCAAAAATACAGAAAATTTACAACATCCCATAATGTTCCCTGCATTCTTTCACAATACTAGTATTTCCCATTCCCATCTCCAGTCCACCATTAATCTAATTATCATGTTAATTTCCAGAAGTGCAGAGGCAGTGAGAGGCTTCACCAGAAACAGTGGGGTGCAGAACAGGCGAATAGAAGAAGTACAGTGCTGAGGGGCGCATCAGTGCCAGGTGGATCACCTCCGGGGCCAGGGATCGAACTCACACTGAAGCCACTATGGGAGCTTACAGTGCTGCATCCTTACCCGTTGCGCCACCATGGAAGGTCCAGTGTGTCCATTTCCTTTTATGCAAGCTAAGGTTTTTGAGATTCATCTACTTTGTTGTATGTATTAATAATTCAGTCCTTTCTACTCCTGAAGAAATTATTGAAGATCATAATTTATATAATCACAATTTATTTATTCATTCACTTACTAGTGTTGCATATTTGGGTTCTTTGAAGTACCTTTGTCAAAGGTACTATGAATACTCATATATATTTTTGTGTGGGCAATGTATTTTCATATCCTTTGAATAGAGGGTAAATGCCCAAAGTACAGTTGCAGGGTCTATGACAAATTATGTTTAACTTTTTAATAATTGCCAGTTGTTTTTCATAGTGGTTATATCATTTTTTGAGTCCTAATAATAATATATAGGTGTTCTAGTTATTTCACTACTCTCTAAAACTGAAGACTCTTTAATTTTAGCCTTTTTGATGAGTATGTAGTAATTTCTCAGTGTGGCTTTCTTTTTTCCTATTTATATATATATATATCTATATGTATATTGCATATATAGTATAAATACATATTTACATATAATATATATTTATATACTATTTATATATATACATATATGTATCTATTCATATATACACATATATAAAGCATCTTTATTTTGTACATTTTTCCATCTCAGTTGTAATCTCCATGGACTTCCCACCTCTTCACCCAGGTGCCATCACGAGAGTCTGTTGTGCTCTTCCTGCCCCAGTTTTGATCCTACCCCCTTCTCCTGACTGGTAGAATGTCTCTGGTTTATAGTTGTTAGTTGATTATCGTTTTTACTTTATTATAATTACTTTTTTTTTTCTTTCTGATTCCTTACACTCCTGCAATGAGGGGAACTATCCAGTATTCAGTGTGGTTTTCAATTGCATTTCCTTGTTGATTAATGAGAACAACTTTTTTTTTAATGTATTCATCATTTTTCCATATATGATCATTGTGTAGTGTCTTTAAAACTTTTCCCATTTTTTTTAAGTAAGATTGACTTCTTACTGAATCATAAGAGTTCTTCATATATTCTACATACAAATTGTCCATTTTCATGTTTCTTGTTAGTTTTCTCCCAGATTATCGCTTGGTTTTTCATTTTCTTACATTATCTTTGGAAAGTCATTTTTAATTTTAATAAATCTAATTTTTCAGTTTTCCTTTCACGGTTCTCTTATGTCAAACCTAAGAAATATTTGTTTAACTCAAGGTCATGAAGAGTTTTCTATTTCATTTTTTAAAAGATTTATTTTATTTAGGGTCCTTCCAGGTGGCACAAGGGTTTAAGCACAATACTGTGAAGCTGTCCACTGGCATGCAGCATGAGTTCATTCCCCAGCCAGGGAGGGGACCCACATGGCGCAGCAGACATCTCCTGACTTGCCCACTGCTCCCCTCAGTAGTGTATTTGTCAGTCTGCCTGTTTTGCTCCCCACTCTGTCTCTGGTGAATCCTCTCACTCCCACACCTCTGGCCTGTAACCCATGCATGCATGCATAAATAAATAAATAATTTTTTTTTTAAAGAGTTGGGGTGTAGTCCAGAGGTGAAAGTGGGAAGAGGTGTGTGTGAGAGGACTCACCAGAGAGAGAGTAGGGAGCAGAACAGGCAATAGACTGACATACACTGCTGAGGGGAACAGCGGGCAAGACAGAAGAGGTTTGTTGCACTACATCATCTGGTTCCCTGGCTGCCATAGCTGGCAATAGTTTGATAAGTGTTGAGATTTAACTCTTTGTGCTCCCAGGAGGGCTCTTCTATTTCTTTTTGCAGAAGTTTTATAGTTTTCATTTTAAGAATTGTGATATACTTTTAAAGAATTGAATGTAAGATAATCAGTTGTAAATTTTTATTGCAAATTACTTTTTGTGTATATGTGAGGATAAGGTAAATGTTCATTTTTAATAACATGGATATGTAGCTGTTCCAAAAACAAATCCATTGAACTATCTTGGCATTTTAGGTAGTTTTCTATAGTTGCAGTGATATGGTACCACAAACCTTGTGGCTTGAAATAGAAATTTGAACTCTAAGTTATAGCACAAAAATTTCCCAGGAGTAGACTACATTTCAATACTTTGGATCATTTCTAGTTTTAAAATATGTATTTTTCTTAATAAGTTATTAAATATAAACCTTATCCTTGTTTAGTAATTTATAGTAGTCCATGTGCTTTTACATATTTTACGTTAAAATTGTGATACTTTTAAAGAATTGAATGTAAGATAATCATTTAGTAGAGTGAATATGCATAATGAATACTAAATAACTAAACAACTTGTTATTTCTAAGTCTTTTAGATTGAACAGTTGTTTTTCAGGAAGGTCAATGAAATGAAAAAATGGCCTTTTCGGTATCATGCCATAGGTGGAAGAACTTGGGACTCCAAG